TGTTGAATCCCTGAAGTTTGATGTGTCACATTTCATGATCTTTTTGGTTTAGAACTATTTTCTAACATCATTTGTGATTTCTCCTGTGACATTATAAGGGTTTGTTTAACACATATATCATATGTTGCTAAAATTTTCAACTATTTGGGTAGGGGAGGTTATTCTTGTTACTTGCTAATTCTACTTAGAATACTTAGAACACAAATTATTTCAATGCTAAAATTTACCTGATACATGCTTTATTATCCAAATATAATACTATGATTATATATATATTTTTTTTTTCTTTACTCATAGTTTCCAGTGTACTCAAAAAAAAATTGTACTCAATTTTTTGTTGAAAACCTGGTATCTTAGGCATAAGAAACTAGGCAGTCTTAATTAGATTCTTAAATACTTTCATTCTTCAGTGTATTTTTGACTTCTAGTAGTTACTCAGTGAACTGTGCTAAACCTCTTCTATGATTATGCACTTGTCTATTTCTTTTGTTGTTCTTTTGCATTTTGATTTATATGTTTTAAAAGGGTGTTTTCAGACACATGAAACCTAAATATTGCTATTTTTCATAGATTTGATACTTCAGCATTATGAAATTTTTTTTTTTTATTTCTGGAAATGATTCTTGCCTTAATTCTATATCCTAATGTTACAGACCAGTTTATATGGAGCTTGTATTCTTTTGGTGTATGTTTGCCCATTCTTCTTTTTAACAACTTTCTATACTCTTATAATTTAGGTATTCCTTATACAGACAGGAAAAAGTTTTGTCATGGTGTTTTTTGCTTTACATTATTTATTTATTTATTCATTCATTCATTCATTTATTTATTTAGTGCAGAGTGAATATATTTATCATAGCAAATTTACTCCCCATTTACCTGTAGTATAATTAATATCTTGCATTGATTGCATTCTACTACCTTAGTATGCATTTTTCACTTTTCCAACACTTCTGCTTCTTTTTACCCCCTCTGGCTTTCTTTTAGATTGACTACTATTGTCTAATATTTGTGGTATTTTTCCCTATGTTCATTTGGATGTCTTACACTTTTCACAGATGTGCTTTCCTTTGTCTAATGTTTAATAAGTAGTTACACTAGAGATGACAATACTGGCTGAAGTTTTCACTTTACAATGGTTCCCAGCATGTATTTTAGGGACTGTTGGAAGTTCTTCAATATTTTACCTGCAATGGCAAAATTATTTTCATATAACGTAGATGACATGTGTATTTTATCTCAGAAGTGTATTTTTTTCCTAGAACCTTACTGATATTTGTTATCACCAGAAAATTGACTTGCACACATACCTAAGAAATTGTTTTCTATTGAAGCAAACATTAATGTAAACAATGCACTTATCTTGCTAATTATTCTGAGAATTTTTCCTCATAAACTATGTCATCTGCATTAGATATATGGTTTTATTGTTTTTTTTTAATGGAAAAGCATATGCTTTAACTACTAGTTTTATTTTTTAATATGGCAAAGAGTAAAAAATATACCCACTTTGTTTTGATAAAATCCTTATAACTCCCCATAGTTTAAGAATGTTAAGGGGTACTTACTCCAAAAACTTTCAATACTATTGACTTACTCTTCTATACTTTTTCACAAAGAAATTAATTTGGCAATTACCTTTTTATTGAAATATTTTCTTTAGAGATTTTAAAATTAATCCTTGACTACCCAAATATGTTGTTAAATGTTTAAATCATCTTTCAACACAGGTCAAGGAAATAAGATTAGCTTTACCAAAACTTCTTGAATATTTTGTTTTTGTCATAAGCAATATTGTTATAATCAATAATAAATCAATGCAAAAATTATCAATCATTCAACTCCTTCTTCTCTCCTGCATTTTGAAAAAAATCTCCCTCTTTAAAGAAACGACTATAATTATTCTTTCACTGTTGATTTTCATTACTTTAACTCCACATAGTATAAATGTCTGAATTTTATTTTAAAAGATAATTTTGCTGTGTGTAGAAGTCTAAATTTGCTATCATTTTTCTTCTTCTTTTTTTTCCAAACCAAACTGTATCCAGCTTTATTAAAGATACTTTTCATACATAATCATGGTCTTTAAGGCAGAACATGGGGCAGACAATTTTTAACAGTATACAACAACATTCAAATTATCTTCTTGGATGGACTATCAAAATCAGAAAGCCATTATAAAACCCAATGAAGTCTTCATTCAATGCTCTGAATAGTGAAAGTTTAGAATGAGGGTTGATATTTTATATTTTGCATGTTGTTTAACATCTTTTCACAAGCCCACCATTTCAGGAAATGAAGTAAAAATGACAAAAATTATTAATCTGAAATTTCACAATCTAGAAAATGAACTGCTGTTTTTCTGAGGGACACTATCTCAGTGATATCACTGCAAAGTCCAGATTCCGTGACACACTGACAAAACCATTTCTTGGGAGTCAGGTCCCAAYAGGTCTGAGTTTAAGGGAGTTAAGTCTATACTGATGGCAGAGGCAGAGGAAGACCTAAAGATAAATTTGAGGTTTTCCATACCACAAGGTGTTTGTGCCAAGGTGGCTATGTGTGCCAACATCTTGGGAGCCAAGACTAGAAAAACTATAAGAGWAAAGTGTTTTGCCTACAGTAATCCAGCTTTGGAGACATTCTATTTATGATGTGTTTTAGGACTGTAGTTGTTTGTGTTCCAGGGCTGGAGTGTGTCTCAGTGGTAGAGCACTTGCCTGGCACGTGTGAGGCCCTGGGTTGGATTCTCACTCTGCACCACATATAAAAAATAAATAAAATTTAAAAATCCATTGACGACTAAAAAATATTATCTTATCTTCTTGCACATAGCAAGCAAAATTAAGTTTAATGTCTATGATAGAAAATCTAATATCTGGAATTATTGGGTTCTGTTATAAATTTTGTTGTTCATACCTGACCTTTGCGATGTTTTATTTCTTTATATTCTTAGGGTCTTGGTCATATTCCAKGAAAGTTTTTATGAAAATATATTGAAACGTAATATACTACCAACAACCTGAGAAGAATTCAAATTCTTTAGTTGGGAGCTGGGAGGATAGAGCTAGGGTCATCACAAACCTCTGCAAATTTGACTTTTCCAGGTTATCTGAGTCCCTTGAACCTGTCCCTAGTCTTTTCAATGGTTTATGACTTCTACCTTGGTATTGTTGTAAGGATGCCAGCATTTAGGTGTGTTTACTTAGGCCTACAAAGCTAGAGAACCCTAGACTGTAACAATTTACCTCTCAGCTCATGAGGTTGACTAAAGCAGCTTCATCTCTTATGTGATATTTCCTTATTGAAAGTGCCCATGTGGCTAAAGTTGACCTCATGTGTGGATTCATGATTAATCTTTCTCAATCTTCCTATTACTGTGAATTTTTCTCCTTATTTTAATTCATTACAAAATATCTAGCATTTTAAGCCTAGAATTTTCCCCACTTTTCCAAACCAATTTTAGTTGGTGAGTTATCTGAATCGAAGTACCAGAGGTGGAAATTAATCATATCTTTCATGATTACTGTTACTCTAACATATTAAAATATTAATTTAATTAATTAATTTAGTCATTTTTTCTTTATTGGATGGTCAGCTAGTAAGTTTACTCTTCTAAAATTCTGATGTTATCCCATAAATATGCCTTATGCAAGTAATGCAAAATGTTGTGTAAGTAATATACAATAAATAATTATTATACCTGGTTTTTATTATATTATTAACCATATGAATAGCTTCATTACAAAATAAATTTTAGAGCATGCATTAGAATTATTAGAGAACACATAATAAAATTTAAAAGGCAAGGGGCTTGGACTAAATTCCTATTGTAACTGTAACAAGTTTTATTTCTTTTGTAAGCTATTTGGTTTATATCATAATTCCTTACTTTGTAAAGTAAGGGATTTTATATTTCAGAGCTTTATTATAATGTGAACTTACGTAACTAGAGAATCCAGTTATTTTAGAGAGTAAATACAATGTAATGGAAAGAAGATGCAATCTATGAGTAAACAAAAATTTTATTTCAGCTTTGTTGTAAGTCACTTATCATTAGTAATACTGCATAACATACCATCCCCAAAGTAGGCAGGATACAGTAACTGATAGCTTGGTGTTAGCCTCCAGGCTGGAGTTGACTGGGCATGTTTCTATACTGTATATTGGACTATGTTCTGACCTGATGTTTTGTATCTTTTGTATGTATTTTTTGTTCTAATGAGAGAAGCACAATATACTAAGCTCAACTGTACATTTCTCAATTAATATCCWATTGATTATAACAGGTATCATAACATAAAATGAAATTCTAGTAAGAAGGATGAACTCTACCAACCATCAAAACAAAGTGAATTATATGAGCTGGGAAGTATAACTTCCCACATAGAGTTGTGCTAAGAAAGAGAAATAAAATRTCTTGTGAACACATTGTCAGTAATGCAATATTTATTTGATAAATGTGTAGGTATCTGTTTGAGCCAATGACAATTCAAAAATGGAAAGATAAAAATGATCAATATCATACCACTTTCTTTTGGAAACTGACCTACCTATGTTTAAGAGTTAGAGGTGAAGATTGATGTCAGTGCCATCTGAGGTATGAACAATGCTAACACATTCTGTATTCATCTAAACTCAATGGTTAGCATGAATCTCTCCCACAGGGCTCATGTGAGGCCTCCTTCTAGCAGTATTGTGACACAGTATATCTCTGACTTTCCTCCTTGACTCACTTATTTTGTATTGAGAACTCATTTGCATATAATAAAATGACACTAATTGCAAAACCAATGGATCAGCCAATGGACTCTTAGAAATATATATATATTTTTTAATCATAGGAACTGGTAGAAAATATAATTTATGCCAGGTTGTCTTGCATAAATAAGCACTTGATAAGGGATTATATTGTAAACTCATCAAAGGTTCACATTCTCTTATTCAAGGTGAGTACAAAGAGCTCTTTGGACAGTCACTTGTATTTAATTTCCTTGTAGATTGTCTACATGGGCTGGTGTGAAGTGCGGGAGCAGGACCCACTCCAAGACCGTGTGTACTCCCCAACTTTTCTAGCCCTGAGGGGCTCCTGTCTGTACAAGTTTCCAGCACCACCGGTAAGTGTCTTTATCCAAAATTATGGGTTTCCCCCAATCTTGCCAAAACAGAGTGACATCATCTGAATGATACCAAGTAAAATACTATGGGTGTATTTTGAAAATAAGATACAGGAAAGAATACAATCCAACCCAAAATTTCCTGAAATAACCTGCTAAATATATACATTATTGCATTAAATATTGGTTTTCTAAACTCTGAAAAATTTGAAAGATGTTTCTGTTTACATATTAAATGTGATAAATAATGAATAAAATCCTAATGCTGATTAAAAAATTCCCATGAAGACATCAATAACATTTCAAAATATATTTCCAAGCTATTTCACTGTATTTTGTTTATCAAACACATTTTAAAAATTAATGTATTAAAATGAATGAAAGTGAAGTGATTTTAAATGTTCTTTATGTATTAACCAACACTCATATTATTAATCTCATATTCCCAAAGAGACTTTTAAAAAAGAGCCCATTTAATATACCTGGCATAAACAAATAAACACTTGGTAAACACAAAGGTAAACATTGTTGCAGTCATGTAGGAGGAACACATTCTCTATCAAAGCTAAGTCAGGGTTTTACTAACAGTAAGTTTTCAATTTATTATTAACAAGTAAAAGTAAGAAAACCTCAGAATGATCCAAGTCASTGCTTAGTCTTTCTCAACTTAGTGAACTTTTGTAATGTTAAAAGTTTAAATTAGAATGTTTTGTCCTAGGTAAAAATCAAAATACAAAAAAAAAATCAAAATACATTATGGTGATCTATTAGTTATTACTCTCAAAGTTTGTTTTTATAGATATTCCTAAATCAAATTTATGGAATTTTTGATAATCTATATTCTATTCTCTGGGATTTGTACTAAATATGTGTGAATATCTATTGAATGGAATACCTATTGCTTTTGGAAACATGTGCTTTATAGACAAAGAGACATTCAATAAATATTTATTGAATATAAATACTAAATGCCAGCCCAATTACTTTCAGATCAAATAATACAGAGTATCTGGGAATTCTCAAATGTGACATGCAAATATTTTGAATGTTTCTCCATGAAATTCAAAGTTCAGAAACACACACACACAAACATTTATATTTTTGCTACCATTCTAACTGAATAATCTTATGATTAGACAGACAAATCTATTTCAAACATAAATAAGCATATCAATTTCTTCTTAGTGCTGATGTTTTCATAGTATCTTAAGCCATCTTGAAAGAATCTTTAACATAAATCATGCCTTTTAAAAATTGAATTTGGTGATAGCAAACCAAGAAAAAAATTGTATATGTGTAATATAAATACTTAATGTAGAGAATATACACATTATTTATAAGATGAAAAACTTTGARTAAATGGAAATTGTTGCATATGACATAAAAAGTTATTTGGAAAAGGAAGAGAGTAGTGATAAATCAAAATTATGCAAGGAAACCTTCTGAAAACAACTTCCTAAATAGAGAGACTAAAAGATCTGTTAAAGTTTCACTTATCATGGACCATTTTGTGCAAATTAAATAAAGAGGGAATAGAAGCTGTCTTTAAAAAAAAAGTGACTTTTTTTCCTCATATTTTAAAGGTGACTACCTGGGACTGGACTCGAGCAGAGAAAACATTCTCAGTTTATGAGATTATGTGCAAGGTTCTCAAGGTATGCTTCCTCAGAAAATGATGGTTCTGGTGCTCATAGTTACTTTCTGAAAATGAGCAATCCAGAGATATAAATGAAAGACAATATTGAGACAAAGAAAACAAAGTGTGTGTGTGTGTGTGTGTGTATACAGAAAATATAGAATGCAGAAAAATATACAGAGAATAATGCAGAATAACTCACAATCATATATTGTACTTCCTCAGTTGGAGATGGACAAAGAGATGCTTTGTAGCAGTTCATCCAGGAAAAGCAGAGAGTTGAATTAGCTGGGATCAAACCCAGGGCTTTGCACATGCTAGGCAAGCGCTCTGTCCTGGAGCTACACCAGCAGTTCATGCATAAATTTATTTTGAGACAGAGTCTTGCAACCTACCCAGCTTGGCCTTGAACTTTCAATTCTCCTACAGTAACATCCCTCCCTTATAACTGGGATTGTAGTGTGCACCATCATGCACAGCTTGTTTGTATTTTTTATGTTAGTATCTGACTAACTCTCTGAGTATCTGAAAAAGCTTACAGTTACCACAAATCAATTACTTTTCTATGTGAAATGCAAAATTATTGCAATAACAGGTCTATGAATTCTATAAAATTCCCATTGATTTTTGCAATTTTTTATGAGTTAAAATAGGAATAAATTAAAGAATAAAGAATTTTGGTTTCTTTATTTTTAAAAACTATTTTATTGGATATTTTTAAAGTCTATAACATGACATAGGAGATGCATGAAACTAGTGAAAATTTTACATCTATAATGTGGCTTAGCAATTTATTTAGGGTTTTGTACCAAGGTCAGCTAAAATCTACTCATTTATCATGATTCTAATATACATTATTATTTTATTAACTAGAGATCTAGACTTGTCCACTCTCTATATTTGCTACTTTGCATCCTCTGATTTATATATCCCCATTTATGCCCACTTCCTATCCTTGGTAAACACTATCTTGTTATCTATTTMTGCATATTTAAATCATTGTTTTGGGACTTTTTTATTTCAGATTCCACATATAAGTTTGCTCATGAATTTTTTTTTGAGTCTGTCTTTAACTTAGCATAATATCCATTAAACTCATTGATGCTTTACCACACAGAACCTCATTTTTTAGAGGTAAATAACATTCCAGTTTAAAAATGTGCCAGTTTCTTTATCCATTTGTGTATAACAGATTGTTGATACTTGAGTTTTTTCACATCTTGGGTGTTGATAAGCATGGGAGTGAAGGTATCTTTATCAGACAGTGGTTATATTACTTTAAGTTATATGCACAAAGTGGGATTGATATGAGGTAGTTCTAATTTTACTTTTTTTTTTTTTTTGGATACCCATACTATTCTACTTAATGACTGTACCAATCTCAATTGCCACCAGCTGTGTAAAGAGTGCCCTTTCTTCCATACCTCACTATTTGTTTTCTTTTGGCTGTTTGATAATAGCTATCTTAATAGGTATGAAGTGAACTTTTGTAGTGGTTTTGATTTGCATTTTTCTGATGATTAGTGATGTCGAGCACACTTGCTATTCATACATAATTATGAGGTATATAATGGTAATTCAATGCATGTCACAATGTGTAATAGTAAAATTAGGTTATTAAGCCTCTCCATGTCTTCAAACTGTAATTGTTTTCATGTGTTGAGACTTTTCCTTTCTTTGAGATACGTTAGGCTATTATGACCAATAATTGCTCTCCTTTTCCACAGAAAACCAAAACTAATTTCTGCTCTCCAACTGTGTTTTGCTGCCCCTTGATTACATTCCTTCCATCCCTCTCGGCTTTGGCTTCTCAGTCTCTAGTGACCACTGTTTCATCCCATTCTTCTAAGGTAGACAGAATACATGGTTATTTGTCTTTCTGTGTCTGACTAATTTCACTTAGTGTAGGGATCTACAGTGGTTTATTTTACCCATTTTTCCTTTTTTGTTTGTTTGTTTGTTTGTAATATTGACCTGTATKATTTCTTTACACATGCTTCATATTAGCCCCTTCTTAGATACCTGCTATAGAAACATTCCTTCCCAATCCAGAGCTTGCCATTTAATTTTGTTGATTGCTTCCTTTACTGTGGAGAAGCTTTAGTTTTTTTTCATGGATTTTGACTTTTGTGGTCTGCATTTTTGATGTAATATCTTTAAAAATCACCATGGCCCATATCCAGAAGTCTTCCCCTTATGTTCTCTTTTGCACATTTGATACTTTCTGGTCTTATGTTCAGATATTTTATGCATTTGTGAGTTGAGCTCTGTGCATAGTATAAGAAAGGAACCAATTTGATTGATTGATTGATTGATTGATTTACATGTGAGAATCCAATTTTCCTAGCACCATTTACTGGGTAATTTATCCTTGGCTCATTGTACCTTTTGTGTGCCCTTGTCAAACCTTAGTTGGCAACGTGTGGTTTGGGTCTTACTTCTGGTCTCTCTTTTCTGTTCCACTGTACTAATTGTTTTTTTTTTTCATGCCAATACCATATTATTTCAATGACAGTGGCTTYGTAATATAATTTAAAATCAAGGAGTGTGGTCTCTAACACTGATTTTTTGATCATAACTATTTAGATCATTTGGAATTAATATTATTATTACATATGAAAGTTAAGATTATATTTCCCTTTAATGTGAAGAACCCTAACAGAAATTGATAAGGATTACATTGAATCTGTATGTGGCCTTGTGTAGTATGGGTATTGTACAATATTAATTCTCATTCAGGAGTATTGAACATGTTTCCACTAATTTATCTTTTCTTCAATGTATTTAATTTCTGAGGAGTCTATTTCTTCGCTTTGATTTTTAAATTTACTTATTTGAATCTTTTTTTCATAGTTAGACTAATTAATTAAGGAGTTGACAGTTTGGATTGATTAATTGGATTGTTTCTTCCTATGAGTTTTCTGTCCTCTATTTGGTTTATTTATATTCAAAATGTCATTATCTTCTTCTTTCAACTAATTTTGCATTTAGTTTGCTCTAATTATTTTAGTTTCTTGAAGCATAATGATAAACTATTTATTTAGGGTCTTCTTTTGAATAAAGGTGTTTATTCCTATAAAATTACTCTTTATCATGGTTTTTGCTGCATCTCACAAGTTTGAGTATGCTATGCTTTCATTGTTATATGTCTCAAGATGATTTTCTATTTTTCGTTTTATTTCTTCTTTGGCACATTGAATGTTCTTGGGCATGTCATTTAGTGTCCTAATATTGAACAATTTCCCAAAGATTGTCCTGTTAGTATATCTGCTTTTATAGCATTTTGGTCTGAAATGATTGCAGATATGATTTTTAATCCTCTTAAATTTGTTAAAGCATGTCTTATAGACTGGCATATGATTTATCTTGRGGAATGTTCCATGTGCATTGGTGGAAAAGGTGTGCTCTGTTGCTATTGGATGAAGACTTCTGCATATATTAAGTCCATTTGATCAAAAGGACAATTTGAATTCTGTATTTTCTTATTAATTTTCTATCTAGATATATCCATTATTCAATGTAGTATGAATTATCTCTGGAATTATTATATTACTCTCTTTCTTCATGTCCATAGATGTTTGCTTTATGTATTCACAAGCTCCAATATTTGGTGCATTTATAATTGTTATGCCAACTTGATGAATTAAAAACTTTAATTAATGTATACTTAAATAGTGAACTTCTTTGTCTCATGTGATAACTTCACACTTGGAGTATATTTTATCATATATAAATAGAGCCACTTCTGCTCTCTTTTGGATACTATTTGCATGGAATATATCCTTCTACTTTCTTMACTTTGTATTTATGTATTCCTTACAGGTTATGTCTATCTTTTACAGAAATATGTAATCATGGTTTTTAATCCATTCAGCCAATTATATCTTCTTCCATTATAAGATTTATTTGCATTTATGATTATTTTGATAGGTAATAATTTACTAGTTTACCCTTTCTTTGCCTCTCCTTTTTTCCTCTCCCMTGTGCCATGGTGATAATTTCCTTTATCTCTAAGCATTGATTCCCCTTTATTATTTGTGTATCTGCTATTTTTGGCTTTGTGGTTACCACGAGGCTTATACAAAACATCTGTCAGTTATAATCTACCACTTGAAGCTGAAAACAACAGCTTATTGCTTATAAAAACTCTGAACTCTTACACCACACACACAGTTTTTATTTTTATATTGTGAATTTGGTAATAACTAAGTGAAGTCTTGGTTATTTTCAACTCTTCCTTTTAATCTTTAAACTAGAATATGTATGATTTAAACATCACAGTTACAGTATTGGATTGTTCTGTATTTGACAGAACAATTTATTTATTTCTATCAGTAAGTTTTATATTTTTATATACATTAATAATAGTAATTATCATCCTTTCATTTTTACTTGAAGAACTCCTATAAGCATTTGTTGTAAGGCAGTGATGATTTCCTTCAGCTTTTGCTTGTTTGTGAAAGATTTTATTTCTCCTGCATTTTTGAAGAATTACCTTGCTTGCTACAGCTATCATTTTTGGCAAGTAGTTTTTTTTTTTTTCTTTCAGCTCTTTAAATATATTATCCCATTGTCTGGTGGCCTAGGGGACCCCCTTATAAATGACTTGACACAACCTTTCTTTCTTTCTTTCTTTCTTTCTTTCTTTCTTTCTTTCTTTCTTTCTTTCTTTCTTTCTTTCCTTCCTTCCTTCCTTCCTTCCTTCCTTCCTTCCTTCCTTCCTTCCTTCCTTCCTTCTTTCTTTCTTTCTTTCTTTCTTTCTTTCTTTCTTTCTTTCTTTCTTTTCTTTCTTGTTTTTTAAACAACCTTTCTTTGTTTCTGAACTTTGCTTGGTCAAAATGTGTCTCAGAGGGGATCTCAGTTGGGGAAACTTTGAACTTCATGTATCCAATGATGTTGTAATTTTTTTGCAATTATTTTATTAAGAGAGCTTTCTTTTTCCTTTCTTCTGACCCTTCTTCCAGCACTACCAGAATAAAATATCTCTCCACTTGGTGGTGTTCCATGGGTCCTGTACAT